GTGTTGACTCGGCCGGGCTAGTGAAACCGTAGTTAGACTACTTAGACCACTCGGCCACCGAGGCCCCTTTTGGCACTATTATGGCTACCTGAAGTTTACCTAATTAGTAAGTGGCCTGGACTTTAAAATAAATAAAATGCTATAACCGTCCAAAGTGTGAAAAATGGACAGTTTTCAACGATTTTTCAAGGAATAAAGTGTTCCACAACTCTGCAATGTCACATTTTGTCATGTCAGAAATTTATAAAAAACAAAAGATAGTTTATTTCTATAGATATAAACAGTCACCAAAGTTTCATGAAAACTGCTCAAAGCTTTTTTTGAGTTATTGTCCAAAAACTGGAAATTCCCCCCTTTTTTATGAATAAAGTCCCAATACTCCAAAAGGTAAAGAAAGAAATTTTTAAAAAATCAAAATGGAGCTTACGTCAATAAGATATTAACAATTCACCAAAGTTTCATGAAAATTGGTGAAAGCGTTTTTGAGTTATTGTCCGAAGTGTTGACAATGGACGGACGGACAGACAACGGTATACGGTCTGCTATCCAAAAATCCTGGGGAGAACACTGTATACCATATATATATGTCCCGTAAACAGAAGTATAAAAATTGCTTACTCCCTGCAACTCAACATTATAAAGCTGCAGACCAATTAATAGACCATTCCCTTTCATAGAAGGCAAGAAAGTTTTCTTTTCGTCAGACAGAGTTGAGCTGTTACTAGACTTGTACTTCCCCCTTTGGCGATGCAGGCAATAACAGAAGTTAACTCACTCGAAGAATAAAGGAAAAATAATTATTCATGTTACAATATATAATTAAAGAACCTTAGTGAGCACGCTCACATACCCCACGTCCCCACATTGTCACTGGAGAAATAAAATAACTGTAAGAAAAAAAAATTGTATAAGAAAAAAAAATTGAATCATAATTTCCTGTCGATATGCACATCTACATAGTATGTCCTTATTATCTACAAAGTTTCATGAAATTCTGTTGTGTGGTTTCAGAGGAGTTGCGATGACAAACTGTTGCAGAGGTATATTGAAGCAAATAAGTTCAAAGGGGCGTAACTCCTAGAAAAAAAATTGAATCGTAATTTCCTGTCGATATGCACATCTACGTAGTATGTCCTTATTATCTGAAAAGGTTTCATGAAATTCTATTGTGTGGTTTGAGAGGAGTTGCGATGACAAAAGGTTGCAGTAGTATATTGGGCAAATAAGTTCAATGGGGCGCAACTCCTGGAAAAAAAATTGAATCGTAATTTCCTGTCGATATGCACATCTACGTAGTATGTCCTTATTATCTACAAAGTTTCATGAAATTTTGTTGTGTGGTTTCAGAGGAGTTGAGATGACAAACTGTTGCAGTAGTACATTAAAGTAAATAAGTTCAAAGGGGCGTAACTTCTAGAAAAAAAATTGAATCATAATTTCCTGTCGATATGTACATCTATGTAGTATGTCCTTATTATCTACAAAGTTTCATGAAATTCTGTTGTGTGGTTTCAGAGGAGTTGCGATGACAAACTGTTGCAGAGGTTTATTGAAGCAAATAAGTTCAAAGGGGCGTAACTCCTAGAAAAAAAATGGAATCGTAATTTCCTGTCGATATGCACATCTACGTAGTATGTCCTTATTATCTGAAAAGGTTTCATGAAATTCTATTGTGTGGTTTGAGAGGAGTTGCGATGACAAAAGGTTGCAGTAGTATATTGGGCAAATAAGTTCAAAGGGGCGTAACTCCTGTAAAAAAAATTGAATCGTAATTTCCTGTCGATATGCACATCTACGTAGTATGTCCTTATTATCTACAAAGTTTCATGAAATTTTGTTGTGTGGTTTCAGAGGAGTTGAGATAACAAACTGTTGCAGTAGTACATTAAAGTAAATAAGTTCAAAGGGGCATAACTCCTAGAAAAAAAATTAAATTGTAATTTCCTGTCGATATGCACAACTACATAGTATGTCCTTATTATCTAAAAAGGTTTCGTGAAATTCTGTTGTGTGGTTTGAGAGGAGTTGCGATGACAAGAAACAGGACTGACGGACTGACGGACAGCCAGACTGACGGACGAACGGACAGACAGGTCAAAAACATTATACCCTCCGCAACTCGTTGATCAGTAGGATTCTGACAACTGAATTCAAATTTGTTCTGCAACATATATTTTAACAACATTGGACAACATCAAGGGTCCAAAAATGGTAATATTTTCCACTCATTTGAAAAGCGAGAGTTAGTAATTTTTTAATTGCTAGTAAAATTTCCAAACTTAGCTTTCATACTTTTTTTCTTTTAAAAGTCTCCTATATTCATAAAAATTCGTTTGAATTAAAACACGTTATAATTAGTAAAATATATCTAAAATTACAATATGTTGTTAATAGATTTCCAACAGAGATAATCTAAAATCATTGATCTTTATCTTCCTTCAAAACTTCAATTAAACTTAAATTTGGACATATTTGTTAACAATTCAAAAATTCTACATGTCCATTTGTACCTCTCACCTTTTGAATGACTCTTTACAATTCAACATTAGATGTATGGAAATTTTTTGCTAAATTTTTATATTAGCAATAAAGTGGAATTACAGTCTTAAAGGATTATAATATAAAAAAGAAGATGTGGTATGTTTGCCAATGAGACAACTCTCCACAAGAGGCCAAATGACACAGAAATTAACAACTATAGGTCACCGTATGGCCTTCAACAATGAGCAAAGCTCATACCGCACAGTCAGCTATAAATGGCCCCGAAATGACAATGTAAAACAATTCAAACGAGAAAACTAACGGCCTAATTTATGTACAAAAAATGTATGTTTTATTTTATCACCTTGCACTTTGATGGCTTGACTGGTTTTCTTCAGCAGTTGGTTAAAATTTCTGACCAGTTGAAAAGTTTGGTTTGATAAAACAATTTGCAATTGGAGAAGAATTTTGAATAAACTGCAATAGGTGGAGAGCAACACCCACAAAGGCACAGTCAAGTCACAGTAAATGCTTCTACAAAAACAGGCAAGAAATTGCATACCGCTGAAAACCGTTGATAAAGATTTGTTTATGTTGTGATGTCCAGTATGAATGAACAGTTGAAATTTAAAGATATCGACTTTCTTGTTCTTGTTACAAAATTTCAGAAATCTTCTAGTTGTGAAAAACTTTCCAGACTCTAGGACAACAAGCCCTGTCCTCGATTAAATCCTTAAATTTGATATTATGTATGTATATTGTAAAGTTCACACCTAATTACATATTTGTTCTAATTTCAAGTTGCTGTGACAATGTTAAGCTGCCTTAAACAAAGCCTAAACTGTAAACATTCATTTTTTGTTTGTTTGGCCTAAATAGAATTTTTTTTTGTAAAATATATTTACATATATTATATTCTCTGGAATGTTTTTTAATTGGCTTTTTTTAAGTTATAGTTGCTTTACTTCAACTACTTGCTTACATCCATTTGGTCTATATTGTTCACGTACATGTATATATGTATGTTGATAGGGTATCCAAGAAACATGTGCAAGGCAATCGGTATCATACTTTATATCACCTCTTATATTCAACATTCGATCTTTCGTAATTGAAATACAATTAGCTACATGTACAATGTATGGCCAGTGACAGATATTTGATTCTTTTTCAGGAAAAGTAACATTATATTATAAATATATATGTAGGTTCACAACTAAAACAGAAAGTCAATTATATAAGATCAGTAAAGTGGTTTGGGTTGACTAGGATGAACAAGGGTTAATTTAGATTGCAAAAGCAAAAAGAAGGTGCGTTTGGTAGATGCAAAGTTTTGCTGTGACACAGGTTACCAACCAATGCTAGATATCAAAAGGGTTCTTATACATTTGTACATGTACAATAAGTAAGGTAATTTTGTTTGACTGATATGACCATGATGACCTTTCATTAATTCAATATAGCATTAAATGAACACATAAACAGGACAAACAAACTTACCGGTCAGCATCATACATAATTATATTAACGATGCTAAAAAATTAGCATGATTCTTGAAGCAAAGACCTGGTACATTGTATATGTAAATTTAGTTGCTTTGGGGAAGTAAAAATTAATCTTCTGAAACTGAATTGCATTATGTTGTCACTTATATTATACTGAAATGATTCCCAACCTGTTTGGTGGCTTATAGTTATAGAATAAAATAACTGTTCACTTTACATTATATACATGTATTTATATCTATATACACATGTGGCATGCATGATCACTAATTGCAGGTGTGAATGAACCAATATTGGTATCAATATTTGCATAAGCATGAATGCAAATTTATATGGATGGTTATTTATATTGATATATAACATAAATTTATTTTATTTTTTATCATTGGTTTGACATAGAAGTTTAGGGTCACTTACCTATCGAAGTTTTGGAGGAGGTCTGAAACATTTATCAATAATGTCGAAATGCAAGTGCATTAAAAAAATGTATTTGTGGTATCATAAATGCTGTTTTATTAAATAAATGTATCCATTTATCCTAAATATTTGATGCATACCTGACATTTTTGTCTTTTGCAGAAGTTGCAAGGTGTATCACTTTCTAGGCCAAGGTCTTTGACTCGCTGGAATTTGCTCTACTATCAAATGATGATTATGCTGTAGAAAGCTTGCCAATAGCCTATTCACATATCGATCTGTAAAAAATAATCCTTAAATTGGTTAACTGCTGATGCACAAATTTCTGCCTTGGTCCTAAGCAACCTCAAAAGGGTTTTCAAATGTGAGGTTGAAGAAACGGATGCCTATCACTGCCGAGGGAAACCCGCTTACGTCATTAATGAGTCACGTTTGTTGGGCTTGCCTTTTCTTGGTCCTAGGCTACAAGCTAAACAAACCAGTTAAAATACTATTGATAATATGAAGTGTTTCAAAATAGTTTTATAAGTTGTAAATACTAAAACATATCATTATCTTACTGCTGCCTTTATTAGAACATACTTCAGTTCCTAGATTTTTTTAAATCACGTGATCGCAAGTTGCGAAAGTCAAAATGGCGGACGTCTCATGAGAGTGACCGTTCTGTTTTAGTATTTCTCAACTTTGGAATGTTATTAACAAGTTTCACTGAATAATATCGCAAGAGAGAAGAACATTTCAAAATGGACTCGTTCCAACGAGAATGGATAACAAACTTTTTACACTCGTTTCCTCATGTTACTTTCTCTTTTAAACTTAATAATTCGACATTTAACCCAGATGATGTTGAATACAGAGAGGTAATATTAGCTATGATGTTACAGTTTTAAGAAAGAAGTCTAAATTAGATAATTTTTACCATTTAATTCCTGGCATACAATTACTCTTATTTTTATATGAGGTAGGCACCACTTGATGAATCTCAGGGTAAATTGTTTTGCCTCGATTCTTTATATAGCCAATATCAAGTTGTTTTTTTATGAATGAATTACACAGGTTGACCCGAGATCAATGGGCGTAAACAACGTCATCGAACAATTGGTTCTTAATAACATAAGCGTTGTGACATAGGAACTTTACAGGAAAGTGCACAAATTCAAAAGTCGTTTATCATGTCTATATTGATCCCAATATTGCTCAACCCTGATTCTCATTGCACCCAGTCATTTAATCAAGATTTAATTATATGTTACTACTAAGGAACTGAAAAACCTTCAACAACACAGTAGTCTGTAAAACCCTTTCCAGTTTTACGACCCAATCCTTCTAAGATTTTTTGTAGAACATCTTAAGACGCATATGATATCCTGCAAATTTGTATCGGAAGAATATGAAATTTCCCGCAAAAATTAACCTTCAAGGATCATCAAGTAGCATCTGACTAAAAGTATTTTGCAATGAAACAAATTGTTTTTCTGAAAGCTTAAAAAAACCTGGCTAATCATTGTATGAACAAAAGCATGCATCAACAAAAAAGTAATTAATTTGATTTAATTAGTTAGGCATCTCTTTTACTCCGTATTCAAAGTCTAAAGACAATAAACAAATAAGTGATTTTGGTAAAGCTGTCAAATCTATTATCTTTAACTATGATCAATTCCAAATAAAATTAGTCTTCTCAGCACCCACACCCACTCAATTTGTTGGAAATTTTGTATAGATTACACCCATTTAAAATATAATCTTACAGAATTGATGAATATCATGATAATATAGCCTTAACATTATTTGAGCTTCAGTCTTTAATTTATATATATATACATGTAATATAAAATTAAATTGAGAATGGAAATTGGGAATGTGTCAAAGAGACAACAACCCGACCAAAGGGCAGAAAACAGCCCAAGGCCACCAATGGGTCTTCAACACAGCGATCAAATCCCGCACCCGGAGGCAGGCTTCAGCTGGCCCCTAAACAAAAATGTGTACTAGTTCAGTGAAAATGGACGTCACACTAAACTCCGAAACATGTAAATGAACTAAAATTAAAAAAAAACATACAAGACTAACAAAGGCCAGAGTAATATGTATTTAAAAGCAGCCTACCCCCCAAAAAAAATGTTTATGCTCTTATGTCGTTTTCTTGTCTTAAATTCATGTTCACCGATTTGACTTGAATTCTAATATTTTATTTATAGCATACATGTATTAAAATGTATATCCAAATTATGAAAAGTCTAAAATAAACAATTTACAATGCATGGACTCGATGATATGTATCAGCATTTCGTGTGTAATTTAGTATAGACGCCAACTGATTAACCATTGAGGTTACCCCCGAAGACTGCCGACGGTCATACATGTATAACGTGATATAAACACAAATATAGATAAAAATAGAAAGCGAACACGTGCAATTTGATTTTTTTCTAGGTCTGTTCGATTTATAGGATAAAAAACATGTTAATCATCGATTTTACCTTTATAAGAAAGAGTCTTTGTGGATTGATTCAGTCAACCAAGTGTTTAACCCTTGTTTCACTTTCAATGTTGACATTCTTTTCCTTTTAATCGCTGGGCACGCCTAGAGTTTATGCGTAACCCATCTCTAACTTAAGGGTTAAATTGAAGTTCACATGAATACGAATTCAATGAGGTCTAATTATTCACTTACAAGTGAATAATTCATAAGCGATGTTTCTTAGTTTATTTTGACAAAATTGAACCAAACTGGCTGCTAAAAACGAATTACAATTTCACTTTCATTAATGATTGAACAAACAAAAAAATCATATTTTAATTATTTTTATATCTCGTAGCTAATGCCGCTTTAAATATAAAACTTATGCAAACCTGTTAACCCATGAAACGGAAAATGCAGGTCAAGACCTGCATTGAGGAAGCAAAAGTCAGGTCATAACGTATATGAATTTTTTTTCAGTTGAATTTTAGTATTTAGAGGTTTTTTTAATATTCTATTCCTACTATTATAAATATTCACCATTGTGAAAATTATTTAGAATTTAAAATTATACTCTCATTTTAACTTCATTGTATTTGTTAAATATTTGTTATTTATCAAATATCTATATAAAACACCCCCTCAGTAGTCTCGTGGAAGCATGTTCGCCTAGAGTGTGGGGGGTCGTGGGTTGGAACCCTGGCCGGGTCAAACCAAAGACTTAAAAATTGGTATTTGCTGCTTCTCCGCTTAGCACATGGCATTAAGGAGTAAGAGCAAAGACTGGTCGGCTCAGGGTCGGATTAATGGGTCCGGGTAAGGTGACATGTATTTCTGCGGACTGTTGCCTTGTGAACAAGCACGTTAAAAATCCATCTCAGCATGTCGGTCTATTACAAAGCAGGGTAAATATTCATATTACATTGTACATTAACATGTTCTTGTCCTGAATATGCATATTAATTTGCCGCTGGACGTTAAGCAACCATCCATCATCATCTATATTAAACAATTTCCTCTTATTGTTTCATTCACACTATTTTCATTAATGAATTTTATAAACCCCAACTATAATAAGAAATCAGCTATAGCTAATGTGCTCCTATATACACTGGAGAAAGATAAAGAGAAAGAAGAAGTTACTGTTGCCTAACATGCTTATATTCTTTAAATAAATGGTTAGAAATAGTTTAGGGACTTGTATCTCTGCAACAGATACATGTATAAAGAGGTTCAAATTGTTTTAAAAAGATTTTAATAGGGCCAAAATAAAATTTAAAATTGTTTTATGTTGCCTCCATACCCACCTAAAAAACAGCCTACCAAACAAAATTTATGACACAAATCGTTTTAACATTTAAAAAAAAAATATATTCCTGCTCTACATCGTTTTCTTGTCTAAAACATGTGCTTATGTTATTGGCCTAAGAAAAATAAAACCCCCACCTACCTACCCAACCCTTAAAGACATTGGTAGGCAACATCAAACAAAATTTATTTTAAGGGTGGCCTAGGATAATTGATACATTGTATTTCCAAACAGCAAATTTTATAAATCAGGACATAAAATTGTATGTCAAGCTTGACTGGCTTCAGCCTTTCTGGGGTACAATTAACTAGATAATTAGCAAATTGTAATTACCTTTCAATCAAGAGTCAAAATTATGTTTCCATAGCTGTAAATCTTTCAATTTACAGTAAATTATGGGAAGAATTTCGAATTTGCCATTTTTCAGTGGAAAATTGAGCCTTTTAGACATTGGAAGTTATATGGCACAAGAATACCGTATGGGTATTGAAAAATCTCAGGTGAGCTGGTAAATTCACAGGTCACACCCTCAAAATACGGGTCAGTTGACATGTATGTTCTGTTGTCATGGTTGTTGGCCACAAAAAAAATAAAATGCCTACCTACCTACCCAACCCTACATGGCATCATGGGTAGGCAACATCAAACAAAAAATTTGTGAAGGGTGGCCCAACACATACTTATGCATGTTTGTAAAGGTTAATAGGTGTACAATATGTAAGATGTAATTTCGATTATGGTGCAATGTTTATTTGTTTTTATGCGACTTCAAAAAAAATTTGCGGTCATCTATTGGTATGACGTTGGCGTCGTCGTCGTCCGAAGACACATTGGTTTTCACACTCCAACTTTAGTTTAAGTGAATGGATCTCTATGAAATTTTACGATAAGGTTCAATACCACACTAGGAAGGTTGGGATTGATTTTGGGGGTTATGGTACAAACAGTTAAGGAATTAGGGGCCAAAAATAAGCATTTTTGTAACTTCCAGACATAACTTGTGTGTTAGTGTATGGATCTCTCTGACATTATACCACAAGTTTCCATATCACAAAGGGAATGCTGGGATTGATTTTGGGGGTAGTTGCCACAAAATTTTAGGAATTAGGGGCCAAAAAAGGGGCAAAAAACAAGCATTTTTCTAGTTTCATGATAATAACTTATGTGTAAGTGTATGGATCTTTCTGAAATTGTACTACAAGGTTCCATATCACAAACGGAAAGCTGGAATTGAGTTTGGGTGTAATTGCCCAAAACGTTTAGGAATAAGGGGCCAAAAAAGGGCAAAAAACAAGCATTTTTCTAGTTTCAGGACAATAACTTGTGTGTAAGTGTATGGATCTTTATGAAATTGTACTATAAGGTTCCATATCACAAAGGGAAAGCTGGGTTTGAGTTTGGGGGTAATTGCCCAAAACGTTTAGGAATTTGGGGCCAAAAAGGGGCCAAAAAACAAGCATTTTTCTAGTTTCCAGACAATAACTTGTGTTCAAGTGTATGGATCTCTCTGAAATTGTACTGCAAGGTACCATACCACAAAGGGAAGGTTGGGATTGAGTTTGGGGGTGATGAATCATAAGGGGGTTCAAAAAATTTCGGGGAGGGATTTTTTTTTCCTTTTTTTCCTTTTTTTAATCCCAGTTTTTCCCTTCACATTTACACAATGTGATTGCTGGATTTGTTACAAGTGAAGTCGTTATTAAACAGCGAATTAAAGTATGGGAAGACAATGATTTAATAGCAGTAGATTTGGATTAATTAAAAGTTTTTCTTTTCAAAAAATTCTTTGCACACATGATGATCATGATGATGTTTCATAAAAGATTAGCATTTCAGTTCAATGTAAAACATCATTATTCATCTTTTTGTCAAATTTGAAGCACCATAATGACTTTAGTTCAACAATAATATATATGAGTGTTTGTTACATGTACAAGTGTACCTATTATACAGTTATTTTAGAGTTACATGTAAGTGTTTTGTCCGGTTTTAAAACATTTTTAATTATGTTGTAATAAATGATAGAGATAAAATATTTTAAAAATCTGTTTTTTTATTTCAATCAGTACTGCGTTTCAAAAAAAGAAATTTGCAATCTACTCAGAATCCTCATGATGCAAATTGTTGTCATTCTGTTATTAAAAAAAAAAAAAGGAAACCTTGCTTGCAGTGAATTAAAATACACACTGAATAAATCTTTACACCATGTACACTTAAGTACATTGTAGCTAACCATAAACAATTACTTTAGGTGTATCATGTGAATAAGCACTTTTCCTGGGATTTTCTACCATGCAATAAAATTCAGGCTTTTTAAATTTAATAGACTTGCATCAGTCATACCTTAGTACTACATGTACAACATTTTTACAAATGATTAAAACAAAAATTTCCTGAAAGGGAATTTTTTACAAGAAACATCCAAGATTGGCCCATTAAAAAGAAATCTAGTTTATTATTTAGTTGAAATAATTATTTCTACTTTCTTATTAATTTAAAAAATTGATCTTTTTGGGTGCACATTTTCCATTTCAAGCTACTCAACGAATATGGGTTTTTCTCTGTCCAGTAAAGTATAGAGAACACAATATTGTCATAAGCCAATGACAATGACATTGCCTAGAAAAATAACAATACTGTGGATTAATATATTTTCATGGGTACAAACTATCGTGTATTGAGGAAAATTGATACTTTCATGGATATTTGATTTCATGGTTTTTGGCAAAGTCTGCATACAAGCCTATCAATAATTTGCAATTCGTTGAACACTGAAATTTGTAATTAACCTGTACCCATGAAATCCACAAAAATTGGTATCCAACAAATAATAATGAATTCACAGTAAGTAGATTATCTAGGAAATTATTACATCTTACCCCTGGGCTGTCACCCTTTGATGAGATTGAAGATCCCTCTTGTTTTTAAAACCATATTTCATCTATTATTATTCACTTGCTAAATTTGTAAGTAGTCACTGTATGATTGTATATAAGAAGGATTTTTTATTTATTCTTAATATATATCAATAATATTTTGCCCCTTTATTTCTGAATAGGATTGTGTTGGGTTAAACTTTTTTTTCTTTTTTGACAGTTTGAATTTATTAGTAATTTCTCAAAAGTACTTTTACGAAAGACTTAAATAACAGTTTGAAGAAATTAGATATTTGTGTGATATAACTATGTATTTTTCTGTGACCTATAGACCTATAGACACATTTCTATTAGATTTAAAAGTCATGCTACTATAGATTTATTTTCAGGTGTTAATGTTATTGCTAATTATCTCATGATCACAGTCGACATTGGTATCTAGGCATACAGACACATCAAACTTCTTTTTTCAGCTCTGTTATCCATTTTTCTTTTCTTTCATACAAGTGTACACGTTTTTTTTTCTTGTTAAAAACTGAGACACTGAAACAATGAAGTGTAATAATGATTAACACATTTAATTTTAGAATTATTGCCATGGCTGGATTTTGACAATAGAAAAATGTATTCAAGCTTCAATTGTATAAAATACTTTATATGATTTAACTAAAAATTTGAGTGATCAGGAGTGGGCTGCCTATATATAGCTATGGTGTGTATGGAACAGGAGTGAACTTAATAGTGTGTGTAGGTGGATATTAGTGAAGATGATCTCTAATGATTGACACATTTTACATTTACTCAACTAAAGTTATTGACACATTTTACAATGATTTAACTGAAGTTATTGCCACATTTTACATTGATTTACACTTCTGACCGACTTAAACTATCTTAAAGGTCTTTAACTTTATGTCCGAATTTAAATAAGTAGGAACAGATTGTAGTCTATATTTGTAAGTTTTATATATATTTCGAGTTTGTGTGTCATTGAATTGAATATTATATTTACCTTTTATTATTTAGCATCTTAACAGAAAATATTTCATGTTACAGACCATAAGTGATTGTTTTGCTAAAGGTTATTATATCAATTAAAGCAAAAAAGATGTCAGTCAGAGTAAAATAATAAACCTTGAAAATGATATACAGGTATACAAATACAAAATTTATGCCAGTTTTCAAATTTTAATTTTATTGAAAATTTTATTTTATATGTTACAGTCAATCATATTCCTAGCCATATTACCAGTAGTGCTGTTTGTGCTGTTCTTGATAATCAGTTTATGTTGTACATGTTACCAATGCAAAAAAGAGAGACCACAGAAAAGAGTGAAGTCATGTTGTCCAGCTGGTATCATTGGAATCATTATATTTGTGGCCATGTAAGTTTTTTCTATCCTTTTTGATTGATATAAAACTTTTACGCCTCCACCTCTCAGTGATTGATTGTTGGTGAGTTACAGGATTTGGTTTTTATAAAAATAAAGATGATTTCAACAAGGAGATTTCAGCCATCATGTTGTATGATTACAATAAGGAGATGTTGTATGATTTAGATAGGGAGATGTTATAGGATTTGAATAAGGAGATGTATGATTTGAATAAGGAGATGTTGTATGATTTAGATAAGTAAATTTTGTATGATTTAGATAAGTAGATGTTGTATGATTACAATAAGGAGATGTGGTATGATTACAATAAGGAGATGTGGTATGATTACAATAAGGAGATGTGGTATGATTACAATAAGAAGATGTGGTATGATTACAATAAGGAGATGTGGTATGATTACAATAAGGAGATGTGGTATGATTGCAATAAGGAGATGATTACAATAAAGGGATGTGGTTTGATTGCAATAAAGAGATGATTACAATAAAGAGATGTGGTATGATTGCAATAAGGAGATGATTACAATAAAGAGATGTGGTATGATTGCAATAAGGAGATGATTACAATAAAGAGATGTGATTTAATTGCAACAAGGAGATGTGGTATGATTACAATAAGGAGATGTGGTATGATTACAATAAGGAGATGTGGTATGATTACAAGAAGGAGATGTGGTATGATTACAATACAAAGATGTGGTATGATAACATTAAGGAGATGTGGTATGATTACAATAAGCATGATAAGGAGATGTGGTATTATTACAATAATGAGATGTGGTATGATTACAATAAGGATATATGGTATGATTACAATAAGGAGATGTGGTATGATTACAATAAGGAGATTTGGTATGATTACAATAAGGAGATTTGGTATGATTACAATAAGGAGATGTGGTATGATTACAATAATGAGATGTGGTATGAGTAAAGGAGATGTTGTTTGATTACAATAAGGAGATGTGGTATGAGTAAAGGAGATGTGGTATGATTACAATCAGGAGATGTGGTATGATTACAAGAAGGAGATGTGGTATGATTACAATACAAAGATGTGGTATGATAACATTAAGGAGATGTGGTATGATTACAATAAGCATGATAAGGAGATGTGGTATTATTACAATAATGAGATGTGGTATGATTACAATAAGGATATATGGTATGATTACAATAAGGAGATGTGGTATGATTACAATAAGGAGATTTGGTATGATTACAATAAGGAGATTTGGTATGATTACAATAAGGAGATGTGGTATGATTACAATAATGAGATGTGGTATGAGTAAAGGAGATGTTGTTTGATTACAATAAGGAGATGTGGTATGAGTAAAGGAGATGTGGTATGATTACAATCAGGAGATGTGGTATGCTTACAATAAGGCGATGTAATATGATTACAATTAGGAGATGTGGTATGATTACAATAAGGAGATGTGGTATGATTACAATAAGGAGATGTGGTATGATTACAATAAGGAGATGAGGTATGATTACAATAAGGAGATGTGGTATGATTGTAATAAGGAGATGATTACAATAAAGAGATGTGGTATGATTGCAATAAGGAGATGATTACATTAAAGAGATGTGGTCTGATTGCAACAAGGAGAGGATTACAATAAAGAGATGTGATTTAATTGCAACAAGGAGATGTGGAATGGTTGCAAATTTATACATGTATTATGTCATCAACACCAAAGTCCTTAAATGACAAAAGAAAACCAAAAACATAAAGACTCATCAATATATGGTGGTTTAAAGTAATTTTTAGGACTAAACTTTCCCCATTCTAATGTTCCATCAGTTGATTAACAAAAGGAACATACATTTGTTGTAGAGGAACATAAATTAAAAGTCAGTTTAGTAAAAGTACTTGAACTTATAAGCAATGAAAATTATTATGGGCAACAAGAACACAGGTACAGGTAAAAATATACCAGATAATGCCAAAGAACATGACCATATTGCAGGTATAATGAGATATTCAAAGAATTTTGATTTCATCTACCCCTACCCCAAACTCCCTATCATCAAACCCAGACAAGTAGAAGTAAAACGATATGAGGCTTAAAATTCAATGAGGAACAAGATAAGGTTTGTCAAACTCATCACTGCAGAAATGTTGTCTTGCATCAATTTTCTGAATATTTGCAGTACACTTGAAGCTAGTTGGATATCATTGATGGATCTGATCATTTGTGTTATTATGATACCTAATTAACAGTGTACTTCCGTATTAATAGCAGTTTTTAAAACTGCAGTCTAAAACAACATTGTAAGAGGTCATTAACAATTGGTAAAACATACTGGTATATTGATTTTCCAGTTACTATACATTGTATGTCGGTGACAAATACTGATGTACTATCAAACAGACCACACAAAAGCTCACATTTTTGGGGCATTCATGCATGCTTTAAATACACACTCAGTTGCATATTCAAAATTTTACTGATTAAATTGTTATGCCTAACAAACAAAGTGTGTGCTTAGGGTTTCCTCCTGGCAAAAAATAGGGTACATAGGTAGGAACTCTTTTTTATTGTAAAAAGTAAAATAACAAAAAATACCAAACTCCAAGGAAAATTCAAAATGGAAAGTCTTTTATCAAATGGCTTAATCAAAAAGCTTAAACACATCAGACGAATGGAAAACAACTGTCATATTCCTGACTTGGTACAGGCATTTCCTTATGTAGAAAATGATGGATTAAACGTAGTTTTATAGCTAGCTTAACTTCTCACTTGTATGACAGTCGCATAGAACTGACTTGAGCGCTCACAAACATGTTTAACCCCACCACATTCTTTATGTGCCTGTCCCAAGTCAGGAGCCTGTAGTTCAGTGGTTGTCATTGGTTCATGTCTGTCATATTTGTTGTTCGTAAATTGTTTTGTTATGAGTTAGGCTGTTAGATTTTTCAATTGAATTATTTCATATTTTTCATGTCTGGGCCTTTTTTAGCCGACTATATGGTATGGGTTTTTCTCATTGTTGATTATTGCTTACATCCATTTTATTTGAACTTTGGTGGATAGTTGTCTCATAGGCAATCATACCACATCTCTTTATTTTTATATTGTTTTACCTATAGTGAATGATTCAATACCAAAAGTGCATATAAAAGCCTTACGATAGCATTTGAGGGGGGGGAGGTTGTATTTGTAAAATAGATGACAGTGAACTGAATGAAGATCCAAAGAATACAAATACATATGTATAAATAAATTCTTCTACAGTACCCTGTTTATAATGATATTTATCCACTTGAAATAGTTGAATTTAAAAGAAAAAATGGATATGCTGCTTGCCAAAAAAGTTTGATTAGTAATCTTTGTGATCATTACAGCTTTTCGTCTCTTCTGCAACAAAAGACGTAGAATGTGAGACATAGGGATTACGATCTGGCGTTGGCATAAACTATTTGTATTAAGCTTTATATTTCGGAAGGTAGAAGACCTGGAGGCTTCATATTTTGTATGCAGATGCCTTATGTTAAAAGTTTCTGTCTGTCATATCATATGTCTGTTGTCTTTTTTATTAGAGTGTCATTTATGAACATAATGAACCCAAATTAATCATATCATGTTAGTATTTACTATTTCAAATATTCCTTATCCAGTTACAGTAACCCTTGGTAGATTGATGGCTCTTTATATGCTTTAAAATTTTAGAGCTGCAGCTGCTATTGGTTTGTATGGAAATGAAAAGACTGATGATGGAGTCAACGACTTTAATGATGCAGTTAAAGATGTAAATAAAACATTGACAGAAGCTCTCAAAACTGTAAGTGTCAACTGATAGTTGAATATATATAGATATTTTGAAAAGGCTACAATACTGTGGATTCATTTTTATTCGTGGTTTAGCAATTTTCGTGGGTTTCGTGGGTCACAGCGAACCACAAATTTAAGAATTCAACGAAGAATAATCCCGAGAAATGTATATGGAGTCGGATGTTTATTTCCGGTTATGTTATGCAGTTCTAGTATAGTGTTGATTAGCGATAAACATTGTAACATAACACGTGTTTTTATTGAAAGAAGATACAAGTATTTTGATTAAATCAACAATTAATATAACGAATATCAGTGATAATTTACTTTTTAAGATTGATTAAAACTGTTCATGGAAAATAACTGCAAGTTGTTAATTACCGTGTCATAGTTTGGTTTACTGGTGATTAAAAATCAATAGGATTAAGTACGGGGTTATTGCCCGTAGGTAATATTGTTTATGACAGGAACATTTATTTTCACACCTTTTACTTATATGACTGTTTATTACATCGTGATTAGGGAACTGAGCTTTCAATCATAGAATTTTGAATGCCTGATGAAATTCCGACAAGAATCTTTAAATTGTAAAACAAACAAATAATTAGTTGTCTCTGTCCATTATTGTAATAGAAGTTTTCAATGAACACTTTAACCTAGAATGACCAAGCGAGGATTTTGACAATTCAAAACTTGTTCAATGAATTCCTTCTTTTTTATTTGTTTTATTATTGATCAAACCAAGGAGGTTATATGATCTCCAAAATCAAAAAGAAATCCACGATTTACGTAGCTGATTTTTTTTTTTGTAATCAGCGATCCACGAATTTACGTATACCACGAAACGTCTTTTTTTCTATATCCACGAAAATTGATACCCACGAAAATAAATGAATCCACAGTATGCTGTAAGGGTGTATCATGTGACCAAGTCACAACTGCATTTCTGTTTTGGTATTGAAAGGATACACTTTTTTATTTACAGTATGAATGCTACTAATCAAATCAGTGATAGCAATGAATAAGGGGAAGTAACTCAAATTTGCTTTTTGAACACAAAATACATAAAGCTGAAAATCAATACAATTTCTTTTTATTTCTCAAATCTGTTAATGTTGATTTAGTATAGTAAGGATAATTATAATAATGTCATAAGAAAACAATTACTAATCCTAGAATTTAAGGAGGTGACCCATGTAAAAATTATTATAAATTCAAAAAGCCAGGAATTAGAAGTAAGTTTGTTTGATTTAAAATTTTCACAAAAATTAAGGATATGTTGACCAATAATCTAACTAGTGTTTGCATTGTCTTCTGCATTTGAGTCATTGACTAGGGAGAAATGTCAATCAAATTCTTATTTGTTAACATTTCAAGGAAAGATTTTCACAAATATTGATTGATTGATTGATTGATTGGTGTTTAACACCAATTTCAGCACTATTGTGCTATTTTGTGGCGGTCAGTTTTTCTTTTTGGTGGAGGAAGTCGGAGTGCTCTGAGAGAACCACCGACCTTTGATAGGAAAAACTGATAATTCTAGTCAATTAAGATTAATATTGGAGTCGACCGTATTCAAACTCACAACCTCAGTGTTTGACAGGCTAGTGATACAATAGTTCGACTTCTTATACCACTCAGCCACAGAGGCCCTTTTTCACCAATACAAATTTTTGATAAATTATAAAGTTATAAGCAAACATGGTAAAGATGATATTTTGTAGATTAATAGAATGCATGGTATTGCTACAAATCTAGCAGACAGAACTATTCCAGAATTGGAAAGGGTTCTACTGGACATAATATTGAACCAAACAGTAAAGACACAGATAGGCGCCTTTACCAAAGACATGTTAGACCAGTCTACAAAAGCCAAGACAGATATAAAAAATTTATTAGATAGAACACCTGATGTCAACCTGGATTTTATATCTGACAATACAACCACTGGGGAATTTATTAGGTTGGTATGATAGGGCTAAAGAGATCACAAAAGTTTCTGCATGTATTTAAGACTTCAGATCCAAACTGGAAAGATGAGGAATAAACTTCAGTGAAACAACTTCTCAATCCCAAAAGAACCAATTATACAGATACAATCATGTAGTTTTCACCATAAGTATATGTACAATATGTCCATCTTCCAATTACCCCCATTAGTGAATTGAGTAAATTTATTATATAGATTATGGTGATTTATATGAATTTCCCATTGTGATATATTCAGAAAATCTCACATGTTAAATAACTCGTTTATTTTCACTCTCAAGAAAATTCCTTGTCTTTTACCATCACTTCAGACTTCCAACTAAATGTTTGTGCATTGCTACTTAAAACTAATTAATTAAGTGTGTCACATATCAACAATTAATAGTCCAGGTGCATTTAAACAACCTCTTGCTTCACAATACTTGCAAATTCTGCATCAATCTTCTTGCAACCATTTTGAAAACTGTGTGTAATACACATATTATATCATATGCTAAAAAAGTGCAGTGAAATTGATAATCCAACTAATACCAGTAGCATAGAAATGAGTTTTGATATTCTGTTTCTATATAATAAAATAATAAAAAAGTATAACTAATTACCACATTGGAATATAAAAATAATACCACTTGTGTGTAAATGCCGCTAATTAGATATAAGAAGATGTGGTATGAGTGCCAATGAGACAACTCTCCATCCAAGTCACAATTTGTAAAAGTAAAGCATTATAGGTCAAAGTACGGCATTCAACATGGAGCCTTGGCTCACACCAAACAGCAAGCTATAAAGGGCCCCAAAAATGACTAGTGTAAAACCATTCAAACAGGAAAACCAACAGTCTAATTTATATAAAAAAACGAGAAACGAGAAACACTTATGAACCACATCAACAAACGACAACCACTGAACATCAGGTTCCTGACTTAGGATAGGTGCAAACAAATTCAGCGAGTTTAAATGTTTTAATAGGCGCCAACCTTCACCCTTACCTGAAACAATAGTGTAACATCACAACATAGAAAGACACACCATAAAATATCAATTGAAATGGCTTAACTCAATCCAAAGACATATCAAAAACAAGTGAACATACACTGAACAAATAAATTTGATCTATGACACAATTTAAATACAAAATTAATTTAAACTAGAGGCTCTCAAGAGCCTGTGTCGCTCACCTGATTCTACTTTGATTTTTGAAATCATGTAAAAATAGATTAAAATCATAACATTGTTTATGATACCCTAATAATGAGTGAGGCCAAATTTGGTTTAATATTGGTCCTGTAATATAATAAAAAAATCCTGGTGGCCATCTTTAACAAGTAAATCGGCAACAAAGTAGCAACACTTCATCAGCACCTCATAAGAAGCATTTATGCCATGTTTGGTTTCATTCCATTCAGTGCACCTCTAGAAGAAGCATTTGTATGTATTTCCCATAGGGTCTTATGTTAAAGGAAGTCCCCCGCTGGCAGCCATCGTGGATGAAAGATCAGCTTCAAAGTAACAACACTTGACAGCACTTCAAAAAGAAACATTCATGCCATGTTTGGGTTCAATATATTCAGTACGCTGCTCTCTAAAAGAAGACATTTGTATGTATTGTAGGGTCCTTTGTTAAAAATTGTCCCCCCACTGGCGGCCATCTTGGATGATGGATTGGCTTCAAAGTAACAACACTTGGTCAGCACTTCAAAAGAAACATTCATGCCATGTTTGGTTTCATTCCATTCAGTGGTTCTCTAAAAGAAGACATTTATATGTATTTCCCTTAGGGTCCTATGTTAAACTAAGTCCCCCGCTGGCGGCCATCTTGGATGATGGATCGGCTTCAAAGTAACAACACTTGGTCAGCACCTCATAAGGAACATTGATGCCATGTTTTGTTTCATTCCATTCAGTGGTTCTCTAAAAGAAGACATTTGTATGTATTTCCCATAGGGTCCTTTGTTAAACTAAGCCCCCCGCTGGCAGCCATCTTGGATGATGGATCGGCTTCAAAGTAACAACACTTGGTCAGCACCTCATAAGGAACATTCATGTCATGTTTGGTTTCATTCCATTTAGTGGTTCTCTAAAAGAAGACATTTGTAAATATTTCCCATAGGGTCCTATGTTAAACTAAGTCCTCCACTGGCAGCCATCTTGGATGATGGATCGGCTTCAAAGTAACAACACTTGGTCAGCACCTCATAAGGAACATTCATGCAATGTTTGGTTTCATTCCATTCAGTGGTTCTCTAAAAGAAGACATTTGTATGTATTTCCCATAGGGTCCTATGTTAAACTAAGTCCCCCGCTGGAGGCCATCTTGGATGATGGATCAGCTTCAAAGTAACAACACTTGGTCAGCACCTCATAAGGAACATTCATGCCATGTTTGGTTTCATTCCATTCAGTGGTTCTCTAAAAGAAGACATTTGTAAATATTTCCCATAGGGTCCTATGTTAAACTAAGTCCTCCACTGGCGGCCATCTTGGATGATGGATCGGCTTCAAAGTAACAACACTTGGTCAGCACCTCATAAGGAACATTCATGCAATGTTTGGTTTCATTCCATTCAGTGGTTCTCTAAAAGAAGACATTTGTATGTATTTCCCATAGGGTCCTATGTTAAACTAAGTCCCCCGCTGGCGGCCATCTTGGATGATGGATCGGCTTCAAAGTAACAACACTTGGTCAGCACCTCATAAGGAACATTCATGCCATGTTTGGTTTCATTCCATTCAGTGGTTCTCTAAAAGAAGACATTTGTATGTATTTCCCCATAGGGTCCTATGTTAAACTAAGTCCCCTGCTGGCGGCCATCTTGGATGATGGATCGGCTTCAAAGTAACAACTCTTGGTCAGCACCTCATAAGGAACATTCATGCCATGTTTGGTTTCATTCCATTCAGTGGTTCACTAAAAGAAGACATTTGTATGTATTTCCCATAGGGTCCTATGTTAAACTAAGTCCCCCTCGCTGGCGGCCATCTTGGATGATGGATCGGCTTCAAAGTAACAACACTTGGTCAGCACCTCATAAGGAACATTCATGCCATGTTTGGTTTCATTCCATTCAGTGGTTCTCTAGAAGAAGTTCAAAATGTAAAAAGTTAACGACGACGACGGACGACAACGGACGACGGACGCCAAGTGATGAGAAAAGTTCACTTGGCCCTTCGGGCCAGGTGAGCTAAAAAGGGGGTTAGATGTAAAACAATATCACAAAGACAACCATAACCTTGGACAAAATGCTGCTAAATAAAATAGTGTACAGTATTGAATTGATTGATTGTTGGTTGCTTAATATCCAATGGCAAATATTTCATGCTAAGCATTAAACTTGTGCTGCAGACTTGTTTAGTCCATGCATCATTTGGTCCTGCATTGTTATATTTTTGATATTCAAATATGGAGATTAGTTAAACTAAAAGTATAAGTATTTAATATCAAAATTCGACTTCAAAAATTTATTAAGATATGAAATGATTAAAATATGGGTTTTTGTGGATGGTGTTTGTCTTCCTTCATAGATCATTTAACATTACAAAGTTTTTAGGTAAGTTGCAAGTTTAAGTTATTGGACTTGTGCTTGAGTTATATCTGATGTGTGTTTTCAAATGAATTCTAACATAGTTCACATTCAAATAAGGAAACTTAACACATTTTAAATTTAAGCATATGATCTATTCTAGATTTTATAAGATCTATAACTAGATATATTTTGCCTGTATTTTATTAGATCTATAACTAGATATGTTTCGCCTGTATTTTATTAGATGTATAACTAGATATATTTTGCCTGTATTTTATTAGATGTGTAACTAGATATATTTTGCCTGTACTAAGTTTGATTTTCCTTGTAGATGGACAACAACAGTAGTTGTATTGTCTGTGATACTGTTTGTATTAGTGGTATCATTGTGTGGTTGTTGTAAAAGATCAAGATGTCTCCTGGCTACGTAAGTATAAGGTGATATCTCCAGGTCATTTATGGAAGAATTTGTATAAAAATTTAATAGAAATTGATTTAAACAAACAAGCACATGTAATCTGTAGAGTTATTTTTTAACAGCATTTTCTATCGAAGTTTCTATATCAACAACTAAATTAGCATTTGTCTAAATAAACTTTATAAATGTAAATGTCATTAAAATTAAAGGGTTCTTGTAGGATACCAAAACAAAACCCGACTTTTTTTTATATGATACTAAAGAAATTGATATTACAAAAAAATCTTATGTTATTGGTCCAGAAACCCAGATTCTTCAAAATTATACATCCATCTATTTAGCAGTTTTGATATTTGTCTGAAAATGAAATTATCAAATTATTTAATTGTTTATAATGAAATAGGTTTAAAAGGAGATGTTGGGTAAACATTAATGAGACAACAACGACACAAAATAATAAAAAAGATTTGTCACCATACAATGAATCTGTAATAAAAACAAACAAAATAGAAAAAAAATGTTTGATGAAAGCTTATTTTTATATCCTTGAATTAATAAAGTCATGCTTGAAATGAGTTCAAAAGTAGAGAGCAGACTTAGAAATAAACCATCATGAGGTAATGTATTTATTTTTGATATGTGTATATTTTCAGCTCCATTTCCTTTGGTTTCCTTATCCTGTTCCTCTCCTGGATAATGAATGGAGTATACCTAGGTGGTAGTGTGGTAAGTAATCTGTTCCTCTCCTGGATAATGAATGAAGTATACCTAGGTGGTAGTGTGGTAAGTAATCTGTTCCTCTCCTTGATAATGAATGGAGTATACCTAGGTGGTAGTGTGGTAAGTAATCTGTTCCTCTCCTGGATAATGAATGGAGTATACCTAGGTGGTAGTGTGGTAAGTAATCTGTTCCTCTCCTGGATAATGAATGGAGTATACCTAGGTGGTAGTGTGGTAAGTAATCTGTTCCTCTCCTTGATAATGAATGGAGTATACCTAGGTGGTAGTGTGGTAAGCAATCTGTTCCTCTCCTGGATAATGAATGGAGTATACCTAGGTGGTAGTGTGGTAAGTAATCTGTTCCTCTCCTGGATAATGAATGGAGTATACCTAGGTGGTAGTGTGGTAAGTAATCTGTTTCTCTCCTGGATAATGAATGGAGTATACCTAGGTGGTAGTGTGGTAAGTAATCTGTTTCTCTCCTGGATAATGAATGGAGTATACTTAGGTGGTAGTGTGGTAAGTAATCTGTTCCTCTCCTGGATAATGAATGGAGTATACCTAGGTGGTAGCGTGGTAAGTAATCTGTTCCTCTCCTGGATAATGAATGGAGTATACCTAGGTGGTAGTGTGGTAAAATTTTGTCTAACCAAACAACTAACTATCAGAGATGCAGCTAATCGTCGGCCCTGTATAACCTAGGGAGCAGAATTTTAGAGGGTTTTGCAAATGGCGTCTTTGTGTCAAACCCAACTACTGGCAAATATTTAAACTGTTTGGGCTGTCAAAAATGAAATTTAGATTGGTCCTGATTACCTCTCACACAAATATCTTTTACCTTTAATTTAAGTCAAAAATTCATAAACAAATAGGTCAAACTGGTAAACATAAATAACTGTTTCCATCCATTTAAGCTAAATTTGGGGAACCAGTTTTAATCGCTGATTTATTTCACGTCCTACAAGGAATCTTTGTAATTAGTTGACTGTTTGCAGTTTCCGTTGTTGCTGCATCATGGCCAATAAAGTTCTTGGAAGGACCAAAACCTGGTTAAAAAAAATGCCTCCATTTAATAGTGATTCAGATGCGAATGTTATATCAGTCATTAATCCTTCCCATGGTCATATCCTTAATCTGGTTGTTCTAGTCACTCTCTGTGTCAAGGCTTCAAGGTGTAACTTAATCCAACAGGGAACTATTATTTTTTTCAAAAAAAATTAGGTCTGGCAAACAGTTGATAGGACTGGCCAGACTGTCTTACACACTGGACCCAATGTCTGACAAGAAAAAAAATCATCTGCATATCTGCTTTATACTTATAAACCAAAGGACTGAAGGACACTAATCATAATTGACTTGTTGACTTTCCGATCAGTCAACCCATTTTTGTTTTGCAAACATCTTTTTTGTTATTTTCATAGTGTATTACTACAAATTGAGAAATCTTTGCAATGTTTTTGTTATTGCTAAAATTGCTTTGGGATAGGTTTCGTAAAAATATTGACTCACATTTTAAATTTTGATTGCATTAAGTGTATGCAACATTTCTTGAAATCAAAATTAATGATCCACTTTTTGGTCCATTGTTCAAATATTGCAATAATAAGTGCATGCAAAAATTTCTGAATTTACAGTACTTTGTAGAAATGTGCAGTGATGTGCACAAATTAGAAAATGTGTTTACATTACATTCTATCTAATGCTAAGCATATCATTTGAAATTTGAAAAAATAGTTATGAATTGACTTTTAAGGCATACTGTCCTCTAGTCCTTGATTGCTCTGACATCTGACAGCCCTTTTTATGAATTGTTGGGGCTGTGGGAAGTCAGAGCTGAGTTATATAAAACGTGGAAATTGGTGGCTAGTTTCTATCGTGAAATCATACAAGATCAATTTCCAGGTTTATAAACAAAACATCATTCAATTCCCTATATAACTCCAGGAATATGTAACTTCTATTCATGTACTAAGCCTTTGTAGCACAAACAAAAGCTTATCTTCCATGAAAGGCCATTAGACGTCAAAGCAATACTAACTGTCCTTTAAAATGGTAATGCTATCAACTTTTATCAATCTTATGCTCAAGATGTCTAATTTAAATTTAGTTATTATGTCCTGATACATTACCAAGGATCTAAATGTTTAACATCTAAATGTACTGTGAAAAGTGACTGGTCTACCTGTAGTTTAGAAAGATAACATAGAAACTGAAGAAAGCTAGTGGCCAGAATGTCTTATAAATGGTTCATTTACTTTAATATTGTAAAGTATGCTCCCTTTTGGAATATCGTCACTAAAATACAATAAAAGATAAACAAAGTTATGACATTTTGGGTCTATAAAACAAATCTTGTTAATGTGACAATGCTTAGTGATTATAATAGAGTGTGCATAACTTAAGTTACATTCCTCCAAATACAGAACAAAGACAACTTAACTTGAAATGAATATTGCTTTCGTCCTGGCAAAAGACTCCAGTTTGTTTAGAACTTGATTAAGGCCTATTCCTGGAAAAGTTCAATGGCAGGAGGTCAGACAGTACTTCATAGCATAATTGAATAGATACTATACACAGATCTGCTATCAACATCAAATTTCTAGTTTGTATTTTAAATTGTGATTCTAGACCCATAATTAAATACAAAATTTCCATGTACATTTTGTAATTATATTAATTAATACTATAGATAAAGAAATTATCATAGATGCCAACAGTTACGATATACCCGTAATTTTTACGAATTTTGGAACAAAATTATGGTGTTACGATTAACAGTCTACTTGTTACGGATTTCTGTTCATTACCCGTCTGGAACAGTTGCCTGTTTAGATATCATTTTGTTCAATGTGACGCTTTATTTTTGGTTATAATTTATTTTACAATAAGCACTAGCGTGATACAGATTATTGAATTCTTTGGGTTTCTCGGGACTTTCTATATTATTAAGCGATCTATCCATTTCTTGTTCGATTCCGAATAATTAATGAACCTGCAAAGTACGATGTTTGATGTCTTTTGCAAATATTTGTGAACAAGACTTCCATTCAGAGCAATGGTCGGTTTTCCTCACGTGCTCATCAACTTTGAATCGCAGTTGTCATAAATTAAGGAAGGAAGTCTTTTATTTGTCACTGTGTGCCTAGTTGTTAGTATGATTATTATTGAATTTTATAACAAATATTATTACTGAAAAAAATCAGAAATTTCGGAAATCGTAATACTTTTTTATTGATTGCAACAAAGAGGGGTTGGCATCTATGAATTAGGATTTTTTTTCTTTCAGCAAGGACCTCTTTAAATTCAAGATCATTAACAATCTATATGATTTTCTTACAGACAAATGCAGATTTATGTGTGGATCCAGAAAGTTTTATAGAAAATGTTGTCAATGAGAGAATAGAGAAAGGTAATTACTACTGCTATCATACAATGTTATACAATTTTTTGATGGATTGAACACCATTCTCCATACATATGTATAAAGTAGACTGTTATGTAAGATTTAAATGTAAGATTTAAAAAACAATGTGTTGTTCCATATCACTGAGGACAAAATTGAATTTTATTTCAATCATAGAAATACAAAGAAAAGGTGAAATCACATTGTTTGTCAGTGTTTTTTTTTTTAATAAATGTATTGAAAATATGATAATTATTATCGGTCAAAAATTTCTTAGAAATACAAATTTACACACATATTTATTAGGGTTAAAGGCATTAGATGAGAACTTTAATGTATCATAAGGGTTTTTTGTCGATTGTTGAATGCTTCACTGTGTATAGTGTAGATGTGTAGATATTTACTTCACTCTTTCTGCTTTTTGTAAATACTTGTTGGAAACATCTGTGTTCTAAGGGTAACAGTTTGTGCTTTATTTTCTCAGACATCAATAATCACTTAACCATCATCTTCAAATATGTACATTGTCTGTTGCATGTTTGTGAATTATTCTCATGTGCTTTATCATTATGATGTTTTATAAAAGGGGAAATTCCCCTACTTTTGTTTTTGTAGAAATAATCAAAACATACATAAAATGTAAGGACGATGGAGCAGCTGGCAAATACTCTCAGGTAAGTTGTCAAAAATCTTGTAAATCATTACTACCTTACTATCTTACCACATTTCAATAAATATGTATAGAAACTATAGAAAGCAGCACTTAGTCTAAATAATTATGAGGTCTTAAAAGGCTATTTTAATTTTTTGCTGTGACTCCTTCCTATGACTTCATAAGGCTGAAGCCATTTTTCTTGGCTGCATTTTGAGAGCAAATTTTTCTACAACTTTGAGACCCAATTTTGCCATGAAATCTTTCACTTGATGGCTAGAAATGTTTGCTTATAGACAAATTCTTACCTTTTATGTGCTTGTTGGTGCAAAATATTTCCAGAAATATCTGAAAGTGAAAATAAAATAAGTTACAATTCCAATAGGATGATGATGACCTAATTCTTTTCAAATATGTCCCAAAAGGATTTATTTTTGGAGATTATAAAATAAATTTATAAAATGTAAACTCCATAAAATTTGACAGACCTTAATTTCCAGATAATATAAATCAAAAGTTCTAGAATTTTGGGTCCATCAAATTTTACAGTTTAGTTTGAAGATTCATTTTATACGCTCCAAAAGTGAAAGGTCTAGCAATTGGGGCAGACTTTTGAAAAAATCTCCAATAGAAGGAGGAAATACAATAAAGTCTCTGTAATTACATCTGAACTCAGTAATTTCTTATTGATGGTTTGTGTTTAATGATCAAAATTTTGTATGATTTGATATAATTTAAATATTTTTGATATTATCCATTTCATGTGAACATGATAAAAAAAGTTCCTAGGTATTTTAATGGTACCCAAGGTAACTGTTAAAGTTTTATATCTGAAAAATGCAATCGCGAGTAAAAAAATGACAATTTTTTGTTATCTTAAGATGTTTAAAGTGAAATGTATAGGGAATGAAGCTGGGATAATGATAGTAAATGGAAATTTGATTTGATAATAAATATATATTTCATTCAGCATGTTTAAGATCATTTGTGTACATCTATGACACAGGGTGAATAAGTAAACTGTAGTACTTGTAGTAAAAAATTGACAAACATATTGCACAAAATTAATATAAAACTTATAAACTCTAATAATATATAAGTTTTAAAAGATTGAACAAAAGGTTATTTGTTGTACCATGCAGTCATTTTATTGTAGCGTAATTTTAAGTATGCTATTACATTTCAGGACATTTCTGAAGCTTTAAGTGCTGTGACTTTAGCGAATGAAACATTATCAAAGATTTATAATGTCAGCATTAGTTTAAGTATACTTCATAAAGTAAGTTGAAGAGCTACATGTAGACTGTAGTTGTTATGATATTTCAATTTATACTGCATCTGCACTATTGGGCTATATGCACATTCAAAATACCTTTACCATGTAAACGTTGACTTTATACAGTCACTTACCATAAATTAAAGCATTGTTTGTGAAGTTGATAATCTGTTGCAACAGAGTTTTTGTCTCACCTTGACGGAGTCAAAAAGCCAGACATAGGTATGCTGTTTCCGGCGTTGGCTGCAGCGGCGGCATCAACAGTGTATTAGTTTGTGATTAGGTCTAGTTTATGGTGAACCACTAGTGGTAGGTCAATGATATTGGGTATGCAATTGTATAAGCATTGGCATATCTCATTTCCATGGAGATTATTTAGCCCCACCCCCTCAGTCATGGCTTATGTACTTTGAAACTTTTGCTTAGTTACCATGTATAAGTTTGTGATTAGGTCAGTTTAAGGGGAACCACTAGTGGTAGGTCAATGATATTTGGTATGTAGTTGTATAAGCATTGTCATATCTCATTTCCACGGAGATTATTTGGCCCTGCCCCCTCAGTCATGGTCTATTGACATTGAGACTTTTGCTTAGTTAACATGTATTACGGTAGTTTGTGATTAGATAGTTTTAAGATGAACCACTAATGTTAAGTCAATGATATTTGGTATGCAAATGTATTGGCATTTGCAAGTCTCATTTTCATGGAGATTATTATAGCCCCACCCTCTCATCATGGTTCATTGACTTTGAAACTTTTACATAGTTTACAAGTTAATGTTTGTGTTTAGGTTTGTTTAAAGGGAATGACTTATGATAAGTCAATGCTATTTGGTATGCAATTGTATTAACATTGGCACATCTTATTTCCATGGAGATTTAATGTTTAGCCATGGTTCATTGACTTTGAATATTTGCATAACTTACATGTTAAAATATTGCTATTTTAATTTCAACATTTGCATTATCAAAATAACAAAAAGGCGAGACATATTTCTGTGTTAACAGTTTATTATTTATGATGTTGTGAAAGATAGCATGGTTTCAGATTTTTTACGCCATATGCTTTAAAATCAAAATTGTTGTTTTTTACTAAAATATTTCAATGAAAGCAATTTTAAGAGATGTAGTATAAAGAGAACAACCATACATTGTCTTAAAACATCAATTTTATTTGTTTTTTGCTTGAAACACGATAAAAATCTTAGCATTTACTTGTTTATAAACCTTTAAGAGAAAAAAAAAACAAAGCAACCATATTCTACTGACAGAAGTGGTTACATAACTTGTAAGGTATTTTTATTATACCCCAAGCAACGAGTTGCAGAGGGTATAATGTTTTTGACCCGTCCGTCCGTCAGTCCGTCAGTCCTGTTTCTTGTCATCGCAACTCCTCTCAAACCACACAACAGAATTTCACGAAACCTTTTTAGATAATAAGGACATACTATGTAGTTGTGCATATCAACAGGAAATTGCGATTCAATTTTTTTTCTAGGAGTTACGCCCCTTTGAACTTATTTACTTTAATGTACTACTGCAACAGTTTGTCATCGCAACTCCTCTGATACCACACAACAGAATTTCATGAAACCTTTTTAGATAATAAGGACATACTATGTAGATGTGCATATCAACAGGAAATTACGGTTCAATTTTTTTTCTAGGAGTTACGCCCCTTTGAACTTATTTGCTTCAATGTACTACTGCAACAGTTTGTCATCGCAACTCCTCTGATACCACACAACAGAATTTCATGAAACCATTTTAGATAATAAGGACATACTATGTAGATGTGCATATCGACAGGAAATTACGGTTCAATTTTTTTTCTAGGAGTTACGCCCCTTTGAACTTATTTGCTTCAATGTATTATGCAACAGTTTGTCATCGCAACTCCTCTGATACCACACAACAGAATTTCACGAAACCTTTTTAGATAATAAGGACATACTATGTAGTTGTGCATATCGACAGGAAATTGCAATTCAATTTTTTTTCTAGGAGTTACGCCCCTTTGAACTTATTTACTTTAATGTACTACTGCAACAGTTTGTCATCGCAACTCCTCTGATACCACACAACAGAATTTCATGAAACCTTTTTAGATAATAAGGACATACTATGTAGATGTGCATATCAACAGGAAATTACGGTTCAATTTTTTTTCTAGGAGTTACGCCCCTTTGAACTTATTTGCTTCAATGTACTACTGCAACAGTTTGTCATCGCAACTCCTCTGATACCACACAACAGAATTTCATGAAACCAGTTTAGATAATAAGGACATACTATGTAGATGTGCATATCGACAGGAAATTACGGTTCAATTTTTTTTCTAGGAGTTACGCCCCTTTGAACTTATTTGCTTTAATGTATTATGCAACAGTTTGTCATCGCAACTCCTCTGATACCACACAACAGAATTTCACGAAACCTTTTTAGATAATAAGGACATACTATGTAGTTGTGCATATCGACAGGAAATTGCAATTCAATTTTTTTTCTAGGAGTTACGCCCCTTTGAACTTATTTACTTTAATGTACTACTGCAACAGTTTGTCATCGCAACTCCTCTGATACCACACAACAGAATTTCACGAAACCTTTGTAGATAATAAGGACATACTATGTAGATGTGCATATTGACAGGAAATTATGATTCAATTTTTTTTTCTTATACAATTTTTTTTTCTTACACATATTTTATTTCTCCAATGACAATGTGGGGACGTGGGGTATGTGAGCGCGCTCACTAAGGTTCTTTAATTTTACACACTTTTAGCTTCATTTAGTAAATCAATCATATAAAAACATTAAGAGCATTTGTATGTGTGCATGTGTTTTAATAAAAGTACCAAATTCTCTCTTGTATTGTCCACAGTCTTTTACTATGAAATTAAAATTACCAGGCAATGATTAGGTGCGGCTTATAGAGTACTATCAGCAAGAGAAAGCAGGCTTAACAAATTTTGATATGAGTTTCAGGCCAAATGATGAAAATTGTAGAGAAAAAGTGTGTTTGACAAGTGATGGAAAGGGACATTCTTACCCTTTGGTCTTTTATCTTTTTCTTTTAATTCTTTTGAAAGCAATATGTACTTGCTAAATGTTTTCATTAGTGTTTTAATATTTGTAGGTAGAACGGCCCATAACAGCTGTAAGAACACAATTGAACTATGGTTTTGGAAATCTAACAGCTCTCAGTAATGTGTTCCAGTGTCAGAGGACACATGATAATTACTTAACCATCAAGGAAGCAGTATGCAATACAGTAATGTAAGTATAAAGATAGAATAACTAATTCAAGAATTAAATGTAGAACAAGTGATCAATGAACACATTAATTCATGCATGCACAGTGTTGTTAGGTCCTGATTTGACTATGTATTACAATAACTTTCAATGCAAACAAAGAAGAAAGTGTGAGGAACTATAAATGATGAGATAGCTCCCCAACAACATAAAAATAACAGAAAAGATATATAGAGGTCAACATACCATCTTCAACGATAAAATGTTAATACCATATGTCAAGCTTTTAATCATTCAAAACCTAGAGTAATTGAAAATAAATATATCAGAGACTAGAAATATTTTCCCCTGACACCGAATTCTTTAACGAACTAAAACACTAAAATGATAAGAAAACATTGGATGTAATTATAACAAATTCCTTTGAAATAGTCTTAAAAAAAATGAAACTTGTCTAAACTGAACTTTTGTATCAAGCATACAATGAACATTAGAAATGTTATCCAAAACAAAACTTTTGTCTCAAAGACACTTTTCATTGTATTAAAAAAAGTAACGATCATAAGCTGAAACTGAGATTTTAGTTTATCTTTTGCAGATTCAACATGTCCCTGATATTGGCAGCATTCCTTTTGTTATCTTTCCTATTATCATTAACACAGTGTATTCTTCCTAAAATGTGGCATCTCAGTGGCAAAAGGTAAGATCAAAATGTAGCATTTCAGTGACAAAAGGTCAGATTTAAATGTGGCATCTCAGTTGCTCTGGAAAAAATTAATCTGTTGGTATTTTTGCCTATTATCTCAAAAGGAACAATAGATAAGTAGTAATATGTAAACAGTAAAATTGGTCAGCAATACAAGAGCTACAAAAATATCCAAAATCAGTTAATAAAATGGTTTTACTGGTGACTCCCCTGTGTCACTTTTCAATGTTGACATTCTTTTCTTTTTAATAACTGAACATACTTAGCACATGCATAACCCATCTCTAGTTAGTGGTAAAATTAAAGGTTCCATAAATACAGATTCAAATGAGGTTGATTTTTTTACTTGCAAGCCAATAACACGTAATCAATATGTTTTTGAGCTAATTTTGACAAAATTGAACAAAACTGACTGCTTATAGCAAAGTATTATTTCATCATTCCACTTTAAATCATTTTGAAATATTTGAAAATTTTTATTAGTTGTAGCTAATGCCCCTTGAAGAAGTCATTTCCCATAAAGAATGATTTTTGTCTAATTTTCATGTTTTTTCTTGTTATCTTTAAATCTATGATAGAAGTAGAAACTGTTGACAGCAAAAATTTTCAGCAATACCAGAGAAGGAAAATGATAAATATGACCGAAACTAGTGGATGGCTCCCTAAGGAGTTATTGCCCTTAAAATGAAGATCTTTATCTAATTTTTGTTTTTTTGCCAGTTATCTTGAAATCTATAATAGATAGGTCAACAGCAAAAAGGATCATCAATACAAAAGTTAGAAAAATGTCCTATGTTCGAAACCATTGGATGACTCATTTAGTTCTTGTTCTTAAATGACATCTGTTGTCTAATTCTTGTTTTTTTTTGCAATTATCTTGAAAACTATAATCAAAATTTATGATCTGTCAACTGCTAAAATGATCAGAAATACAAGATCTACAAAATACTTATTTGACCCGTAACTATTTGGTGACTCCTGGGAGTTATTGTCCTAAAATAAAAATATTCGTGCTGATTTGATTATTTCTCTTAATAATTTTCAAAACCATTATAGATAGATAGAAACTGGAGATAAAAAGGATCATCAATACAAGATCGACAAAAATGTCACTAAATAATATCTACAAATTAGCAAACAAAACTGATAGCAATGAAGATAAAAAATAAATATCAAAATGGTATATTTTCACAGGTGAACGATTCAGGCACTTAGGAGCCTCTTGTTTTATGGCTGATTTGCTCCTATTAATTTTTTACATAATGTTATGTATCAATCAGCAAATATTGACCAATGAAACAACAATGTATAGTCTATTCATATATATCATAAAAACACTCATTTTGCAGAATCAATTATGTCCATCTTTCATGTAAACAATTGAGGCTTGATCATTCTGGAATGTTAAGATTGCAGTCAAAGGAATCTGTCATTATTCTCTAAAGAAACAATATCTTCACAGTGGAGCTGTCTAAATGGGTTCCATATTATAGATAAAATGAACAGTGCTTTATAATGATGATTTTCAGGCACTATGGACATATTTAGTCAAAATATTAGGACACTACAAAATACATGTAGACTCTGGTCAAGTCAAACGAAAGATTATAAGAAGTTAAGGAAAAAAAATTCTTGTGTTGATGGAAGCAAGTGATAAACTTCTTTAGGTTTTCTGTGAATATTTTGTATATTTCCCAGAATTACATTAATTTGTTTTATACATGAGATTGTTATTATTGTACACTTTTACTTTTTTTACTTGATTGGATTCTCATATGCAACTATCCACCTTAGATCTTTTCGTTTCCAAATGTTGATTAAAATCAATTTAACAGAATACAAAAAAGAAAGAAAAGTAAAAAAAAAGGATAGGAAAGTAAATGATATATTATGTATTGTAGAAGAGGAACTGGATACAGACCAGTGGATGATACAGACCCATTTGTACCAAGGCCACCTCCATATCAGGACTATGGATCATTGTATGGTATAGGCTCTCCACTTGGACCTTCAAAGTAATTTATTTCTTCTCTTTAATTTGTATTTTGGAAAGAGATAAGAAATAGTAAATTTACTTTTTTGCCCCCGTCGTGGCGAAGGGGGCATTAAGTTTTACCCTTGTCCGTCCATTCATACATCCCAAAATAAGTTCCCATTCTCTAACTTAAGTTTGCCTCAACCAAATGTTATAAAACTCATACACAATGCTTATTACCACCAAACACAGATCAAGTACAAATTTGGGTAGCGTCACTTTTGCCGTTCTTGAGTTATTTCCCGTTGTAAATTGAAAAATTGCAGAATTCGTCGTATATTTTCAAGTGGGGTCATCTGTGTCCCATGGACACATTTTTCTTTTATTTTAGTAATATTCTGGTCCAGTCAATTTTACTGGCAACTTAAAACCCATAAAACTTCTTCTGTCAAAATATAATCGTACAAACCTCTTGTAAAGTTATCTGTTTTGGATGTTGGTCTGGATGTTATTTATTTATGGAGAAATGTTGATCATGAGCTGTATAATTTGGCCAATTGACTGTTCTGGCTATAATTTGACTAATGAACTGTCTTTTGATTGATGAGTATTAATAAAAATGGTGTGTTTATTGATAAACCAATGTCTGTTCATTTAATAGTCTATCACACAAGTTTTGGCGGTTTTATACAACCGGAAGACATTTGGTTTCCGGACAATTACTTTAGTATAAGTGAATGGATCTCTGTGAAATTTAACACAAGGTTCAATCGCACTAAAGGAAAGTTGGGATTGATTTTGGGGGTTATGGTCCCAACTGTTTAGGAATTAGGGGTCAAAAAGTGGCCAAAAAAGGCATTTTTCAAGTTTCTGTTCAATAACTTGTGTATAATTGTATGGATCTCTATGAAATTGTACCACAAGGTTCCATACCACAAAGGGAAGGTTGGGATTGACTTTGGGGGTTGTGGCTTTAATCGTTAAGAAACTAGAGGTCAAAAACAAGACTTTTCTAATACTGGCTAAGCTGGTTCTAACATAAATTATTTCTGATCTATATGAAGAAACAACAAATACTGATATGGCAGGAGATGCACACCAAACAGGGTGTGTAAATTGTTATATTTAGTTTGTAAACAGATTTACTAAGTATTGCACAACAGCAAGAAATCTTCAATTGAAAATAAATACAAATCTTTTAACCAATTTCAATGAGGATTAATCTTAAGTCTTGAATTGTTTGAGGTTTTTACCATGTATTACTATATTGGATATTTGGACATTTTTAAATAGGTCTACATTGAGGTCCAAAGGGTCCAAAATTAGACTTTGTTTGATTTCATCAAAAACTGAATTCTTATGGTTTTATGATATGCTGAATCTAACTGTGCATTCAGATTTTTAATTTTGGGCCCTGTTTTCAAATTAGTCCTTATTAAGGTTCAAAGGGTCGAAAATTAAACTTTGTTTGAATTTTTTTTTTATCCTCTGCAATCGTATCCAGCTGCTGCAGGCGGAGCACATTTTTTTTACAGAAACTACAAACATGACAAATTATAACTCATTCATATTTTATATCAAGCTTCATCTGAGTAAACTATAGTCTTTATTGGTTTATCCTGAATAGCCATGAAAGACATTCTTGTATTCTTTGATACTGTTACAATCAAACCCGTACATAAAGCAATTGCTTGATAGATGGATTACTACATAGATAGACAGATAGAGATTATTTTTAGTACATTTGATAACATATACTGTTTTTATAATCAAATCTAAGATGAGACATTTGTGTTACAATAACACTGTTTGAAAATTATGGAGCTCATTAATGACCCTTCTCCTCTCAGGGCACCTTAACTCTGAAGTATGAAAAATTTAGAATTCGTAGTTTGAACAGAATTTAATTACATCAACATTCTTAATTTTAAATTTCCTGTTTTCCATCTCAATTGTTATTAATTATTTACTTCTAGTACATATTTTCTTTGATTTTTGTTGTTAATTAAAAATTATAAATGAATTAATAATTGTTTACATACATGTATTTGAACAAATTCCATTTTTTTGTTTCAGCAGTGATGCAATCAATATGACAGGAGGACCACCTCTAGACTCACCACCACCTGCTGTAAGTTTATCTCAAAACACAGGCTCAAGTTTTTCAAAATTGATAAATTAGTTGCATAACTTCTTGAATGTTTCTCTCAAGTCTTTATTTAAAGAAACATGAAAAGGTACAAAGCTTTGAGTGTTTGACAGATATATCAAATTCAGTCTCTATTCAAAACTTTAAGCTCTCAACTTAACATTCGGAAATAGGAAAACATTTGCCAGGAAACTGTTTTGCATTAATAAAGAGTATATCATTCTCTAGTTCCCTTCACGATCTGCACTTCAACTATCATGGTTAGCTAACTAAACCCATTAATATATGTACCAGTTACTGTCAGTACACCTGAAAGGAACATCCAAATAAAGTTTCCATTTCAGGTGTACTGACCAATTGCTTTTAATTACAAAAGCAAATTTTAAAAATTAGATTGAAATAAAAAATGTCTGGCTACTTGAATTTTTTTTTTTTTAAGCTCTGGTTTATATGATGTTTTCATGTGTAGTCTAATGTATTTCACAAATTTTATTTGAAGCCAAAATAATTTCTGATAAAAATACATATATAGATTTAAATAAGAAAAAAAAAATACTTGTAAAATTCAGCTATAGAAAAAAAAGGACCAATTTACCAAACAACACATTCTTTCAAGAATTCAAAGAGCATTAGAGAATTATCTAAGATGTTTCATCTTTAGATGAATACTTTTTTTATTCTAATTGAAAGAAGTTCCAGTGTTCTCCCCAGGGCCATCATGGTAATGTGATGCTATAATCTTAAATGTGATTCTATCTGAATTGGTTTTCTTATAGATTATGTTATGGATGTGATGCTATAATGTTTAGAAACAAGATGGTATTTCAAATTTCCCTGTTTACCAGGATGCTAAATGAAATATCTGGGGAGAACACTGCAGTTCATTTGAATTTTTACATTATTCTAATGAAATTATAAAAAAGAAATTCAGGAGGAATAAAGGGAGGACTCATTTAATATTTCTGTCTCTTGGTGTTCTACTATTGTGATACATTTGATATAGGCTAGTCAATTCATTGCCACAGAGAGAGAACTAATAAATCCTGTGTTTTCACCCAATTAAATATAGGATTTATTTCACAGTGAATAATGAAGTATTTATTAGTAATATAATATTAGCAACAGCTCATTTCACAGATTAATATAGATTAATGAAATATCTGTGTTAATTGAATTTACATATTCATCATGTATTTTTTCAGTACTCTGTACGTGGTTTTGGTGAGAGCAGACATACCAGAAGTCACAGTACAACTTCAAGCGAAACATGATGTACAGAGTTGAAAACTGAGAAACTTGAGATTATAAAGACTAATTTTTACTGATCCCTCCACCTAAGTGGTCTTGTATAAACATTTAGTATTCAGTAATGAATGTGTTCTATAAGAAAGAAGTTTTTAATGATCTCATAATGAGGGACATATATGAAGGGCTTTCATTATGACTTGTTATGCATTTGTATATTTAATTTTTTGCACTTTTTACATCTTGCATCTTATAATCAATTTTTCATTTATTTAACATGATGTTTTTTCATAAAACAAGATTGTTTTTTTTAAAGTATTTGCTCATTTATCTCCATAATATTTTTTTTTTATTAATTTTCCCCATTTGATATGTATCCATAATTTAATTAATTATTCAGGGTATTAAATACACTCAATGAAATATATAATTTGAATTTTTATTTAACATATTTTATGAGTTTTATTAACTGTATGATATATTACTGATGATGACTAGACATCAATAAAAATTAATTTATAAAGATTTACCAGTTTTATATCATCTTAAACAATAATTAAAGCAATACTCCAGTTATTTATAAATTTACAAATAAATATGTGCTTTGAAAGTAATAGTTTTTTTTCTTTAATTTGATAGTTACTTTTGTTAATTATATGCCATTTTGTTTATCTTTTACATGTAATTCAAGTTATTTTCATTTTTGCAAGTTTTTAGCTCACCTGGGCCATTGGCCAAAGGGCCAAGTGAGCTTTTCTCATCACTTGGCGTCGTTAACTTTTACAAAAATCTTCTCCACTGAAACTTCTGAGCCAAATTTAACCAAACTTGGCCACAATCATCATTTGGGGAACTAGTTTAAAAAATGTGTCAGATGACCCCGCCTACCAACCAAGATGGCTGACATAGCTAAGAATAGAACATAGGGGTAAAATGCAAGTTTTGTCTATTATTTTGAAAACTGATATAAATAGAGAAAATCTGATAGAGCAATAATGTTCAGAATGTTGAGCTCTACCAATAGTCCATATACGTCAAAACTGTCTGACAACTTCTTATAGGAGTTATTGCCCTAAAATGACAAATTTTACCTTTTTTTTCAATCTTGAAAACTAAACTAGATAGAGAGAAACTTTAAACTGCAAAAACGATCAGCAAGACAAATTCTACCAATAAGTCTAACATTGTCGAAATCGTCAGTCGACTCCTTGTTAGAGTTATTGCCCTTTGATGACAATTTTTACCAATTTTTTGCGTTTTTGCCCTACATCTTAAAGATTATAATAGATAGATAAAAACTTACATAAGCAAAACAAGATCTACAATTAATATTATATTGTGGAAATCATCCGACGACTCCTTATTCGAGTTGTTGCCATTTAGTGACTATTTTCACTACTTTTTTTTTGCGTTTTGCCTTATATGATAAAAATTATAATAGATAAATAGTCCCTTTAAATCACAAAAATGATCAGCAAGTTATCTACTAACAAGTCAAATTTTGCCGATATAGTTAGTAGACTGTCACTCTTTATAGGAGTGATTGCCCTAAAATGAGGATTTTTTTTACCCTCTTTTGTGTTTTGAGCAACAACTAAAGAAGATAGAGAGAAACTAAACAGTTTAAATGATCAGCAATACAAGATCAACAAAACAGAGATTTTTGTCATGAATTCTATTATCGTCTCACAATGCTGGAGAGTGTCCTTTGTTGAATATGCACATAGACCAAGGTGAGTGACAACGGCTCTTTATTTTCTAGCTTTTGCATCATTTTTATTCATTTTCGACAACAAAAGATGTGAGACAACATTTTAATTTACTAAAAGAGAATAAGTAGTGAAAAGTGTTGTATATTTGTATATATATATATATATATCTGTGATTGACTTTTGCATGTTTTGTTTTTTTTATTATGCACTGTACTTGTTTGGATATTTTTTTAAGGTTCCCACGGTCAAACTTTTGTTGCATCTGTTGATCTCAAATACAACTAAAATGGAGAAGTGGTTATAATCTTTTTTTCACAAAATTTGTCAGTGTGCTTCAAGTAGTATAATGAAAGAAGGAACCAAAACATTTCTGTCTTAAAAAGTCTAACTGGTATTTACCCTGTGTATTATACAGGAAATAGATGATTTCACATAGTATTATAAGAATTCACATCCAATGTTGGCATGTTGAAAAGGGATCAAGAATAAAAATAATATTTTACTTTTTTCTTTTCTAAAATACTATTAAATGAATGCTGTTGAATAAGAGGCACATTTGAATAGAATGCATGTATAAAAATACCTTGTAAATGAAAAAAAAAATTGGTTGATTTTAAAGTGTTATTTCTTCAAAACTTACAAATGTCACATAATTAGTTTTTTATGTATTAACTATTTAATGTTATTACTGTGTACATAGTATGACTATTATGACTTCAGTGTTAAGTTTATTTCAACAATCAAGAGATATTTTTTTATCCAGAAATTTAAGAATCTTCATTCAATCATATTTAAGCATTTAAAATATTTAAAGTTGTTTAATTTTCAGTTGATTACCAACATGTCCAATTTGCATGCTTAATCTTGCAAAAGTCTGTGGTATCTCTCATTTACTGATATTTCACGTTTTATATGATATATGTCTTACAAATTGCTTGAAAAATTCTGTGATACAACTTTTCCTCTTGTTCAATTATTTTGAATACATGTGTATAAAATTTTATTTATGGTTATAGTTTGCTCATATTTAAAGACTGGGCATCTTTTCATATATTTTCTATAACATATAATTATCTTCTATCTGCTTTATATATTTAATAGGCATAGAAAAAAACTATTTTTTTTTCTTTAAATAGTGGAACTTTATCTTTTCTTCTCTGTATTTTTCATGTAACTATGACTATGCTTCAGATTTATTTAAAATAAAATTTATGTCTAGCTAATATTTTGTAGTTGATATGTTTGTTTATGAATTAAAATAATCTTTTTTTTCAACAACACTTTTTATAAATCATACTTCAATAGAGGCTTGCCAGATGATTAGTTTAATAGATTTGAAATATTGTACATTAGATTAATATTGCAATAATGTTTGTTTTACATGTTAGCTGTATGGATTGGTACTGGATTGTACTTTTATTGGAAGTTGATTATCTGCATGGACATTTTGTGTTAAAGTGATAAACAAATGTATACAGTTTATTTCTAAGAAGCAAAAAACTTATATTAAGGGCTGTATCATTTAAACATACATGGTATACAGAAATTGTACTTTCAACATGGGTACCACCTAAAGAGCTAATTTTAAAATTCACTTACACTTTACAAAAAAGTTTTTGCCAACAAACTGTAGTTGAGCTTTCAAAGAGTGTCCCATGTATGTTTATATATCAGCCCTTTGAGAACATTTATAGCAGGAAAATGAAATAATATTTTTTCTTCATATTTAATATAGATTTTATACAGAAATTATCCTGTAATTATGAAAAAGTCTTACACCATAAACCATGTCTGTATTAACTGTAAAAATGTTTGATTTTGGATACTTTACCTAAGACAGATTTCCATCTGACAGCTTTTTAAATAGCTCTAAATGAAAACAACTTTAAAAGGATCATTGTAAGAAAAACAGTCTTAATTTATTAATCTGTCTCATCTCCAAACTTATTTTTGGAATAGTTAACTATTTAGAATTCCAGTCTAACTAGAATGTCTCTCAATTCTCTATGAATTATTTACCAGTGTTGTTTAACAGCAACGCCAATTTACACATATGCTGAATTATTTACCAGTGTTGTTTGACAGCAATGCCAATTTACACATATGCATTGAAAAAGCTGTATATCAAATATAGTTTAACAAATTGATACTTATTTCATTTGTCCTTTATTATACCACCATGTCAACTTGCTTATGTCTGATAGTTTTCCTGTTAATCCGTCCCCTAAAATTTTGTCACATTTTTATCAGAAAGTACAAATCCTAAAACTTAGTCCAGCTTCCTTTGAGCATGTTTTTCAGTGTGATGCATTTTCAGATTCATTGCTCATCAACTTCCTGTTCACCAAATACATATATATTATTTCAGATATTGGCCATGTATGAAATTTTCTTCACATTTTTCTCAGGAACTACAAATCAGGGCTTTCTGAAATTTGGAACCAAGCTTCATGTGAGCATGCTTAACTGTGTGAAGCTTTTTCACATCCATCACATATCAACTTCCTGTTTACTGATTACTAATAGCTGGATTATCATTTAGTGAGCAATAGCTCACAGTTCAACTTGTTAACTTGAAAAAATCATATAACCATAAAATTTCTTGTGATCAGATGAAAAAAAAATTATATTGATATTTTTTTAATTATTAACTAAAGAAAATTGATCTGGTAAATATATAAAAAATATACGGTATTTTATTTGAACATAGAAAAATAAATAATATATAAGATTTTAAGGAGGATAGAAGAAATACACACTAAAAATTCCTATATATGATATACTTACAATTACTTTCAAAGAAGTGCTGTGTGTTTGTGTTTTAAGAAATAATATTAATATCATGCTTTTATTAATTTTATCATATTTAAAATACACAAAAAATGCTTTATTTCATTTTGTATGAAAATATTCATATCTAATAAAACTATTAATGATGAATTATAATGTGTGTTGTCATTAGGGCATTATGTTTGATGCATATTGCTGTTGGTCATATGGTGACTTATAAATTAAGATTTAATATGCAGGGTACAACTGTATGAAATACTGAGAAATAAATAACCAAATGAAAGAGCACTTTTATTGCTGCTCTGTCTTGACAGTTGCTATGAGCTGCTTTTAACTGTCACAGGGATAAAACAACAGCCTCTAGTATGGAACGAAGTGATATTCTTTGAAATTTTTCTCATTACTGCTATGTATGTTTTGGAGTAATTTTAAGAAATTATTAAGATTGATTGATTGATTGATTGTTGGTTGCTTAACGTCTGAAATTATTAAGAAACTAAAGTTCCAACTCCCTCATGCATAGTTGACCTATATATTATTTTAGGTCCCTTTTGGTCATATGACTCTTCACTTGTTTCGGTTCTTATAAATCCTCGACTCAGCATTCTTGATGAAAGTAAATTCAGAAAAAACACCTCAAATGATACAATTGATTAAGTGTTACTTTTATTTTAATGGTTTTAAGGGCAATTTGACAGAGGAAAATATGTAAACCATTAGTAAAATGTTTCTACAAACACAGTAATAGGTTCCACATATGTAAAATTTTAGATTACCATGTTATTTCCGCCTGCACACAACAAGACACACATGTTAATTTTTTCATACACAGATTTTTTTGGGGTTTTTTTTGTTGAGAGTGAAATTTCTAGGTATTTGATACCCTTTATTATTGTTTATTATTATAATATTGTGTACAATTAGTATTTAACTTCGGAATTCATGAATTATGGAGTTAAATGCTTTTTGTCTGTTCGAAGCCATTACAGGCAATGATGTCTTTTTAAATGGGTCATTACCTTTCCCTATGGCTACGACAATGGTAAGTCAGGTAGTACCTCTTTATACTTATAGTCAGTCAACCGATGTTTTAACTTCAGTGACTGATAATACCGATCAACAGACCCTATATGCAGGTTCTGTCTGTTATGAGGGAGGTATCCCTACCATTACCTCTGTTACCCACACAGTCTCTAGGCTACTTGATACCAACGGTTTAGTTTCTCCTTACCCTGATATCTCTATGGGGTAATGTTTACCTGGTTCCAGACCTCCAGCTTCATACTGTGGTTTTACTTTGCCTGCCTCGACTAATAATTCGATGTCATGGTTTCGGACTGTGGTCCCTCCTTAGAGGGATTCAAAAGTATGGACGACTATTCCATCTGAATTGACATCTTTCTCTAACCGCCTTTGAACGATAGAGAATAATGGCAATCATGAAAGCAACCCGGAGGACAGTGATGAGGAAGAACGTGTTTCAGTGGCCCCAGGTTTTCAGGAAGAAGGTTTGTCTTCTGATGACGAAGGTGATACTCCAGTTCAGGATTCTCAGAATGTTTCACAACCTTCTGTTCCTGTTTCCATTCCTTCTTCTTCTGAAATTGGTCGGTCTTCTACCAATTCCAGTAAGGATCCTGAGACTTGAGTTTACTCCTTCTACATTGAAGGATCTTAGAGATTCTCTTTACACTATTATGAGAAATGTAAACAAGGTACTTTTTCAGTCCACCTAGACACAAGAGACGTAACCTACATTCAAGGATTCCTATGGTCTGTCAAAAGACAATATTAAGTCACATACTAGTTTCCTACAATCTAACCATATGTCGACATCTCTTCAGATCATCAATGACGGGATTGTGGCTAATGAGTCTCAATTTTCCAAAGTAAGTGGGTTTGGTCTTTCCTCATTGACAGAGCAATTCCGATCTAAAGATTACGATATCTTTGATTCTACTTTGGGTAAGTTGGTACCTGTTTGTACAAGGCTTTATCGTCGTATATTATCTCAAAACAAATGTTGTAAATACGCGCGAACAGAACGCGGGAACGTCACTTATTTCATATATTATAACGTAAAGACTTTGTAACATTACACACTTGTATATTTGAGCATTCTAGATAGATTACAACTTATAGCATATAGAACGTTTTCTTCCTTTATTCACGTATTCTCGACATTTTGGTGCCGTGCCCAGGATTTGAATAAGCTGAAATCGATTAGGAAAGCGAACAGAAGTGTTGTGACAAGACATTTACGAAAAATAGATGATTTGAAAAACGAAGCGGAGTTAGCCAGGGTGGATCTTTTAGCAACATTCGAAAGTGTAGAAGAAAAGAATAAACTTTTGAACGATTTAAATCAACAGATTCTTAATGCAATTGATTCGAAGGATATTGAAAATAAAATTCTGAATACAGATGAGTATACTTTAGACTTAGAAACAAAACTAAAACACTTGCGTATTTTCATACAGAGTTTAGACAATTCGAACAATCATACAAATCAACAGTCTACTTCATCCTATCAAACATTGAATTATGAAGCACCACCTTTTATTCCAACTACATGTGTTGAAAATCAAAAACAGAGTTATATAGCACCATCACTGTCAACGTTTAGCAATCAAACACGCCGCCTACCAAAATTAACTTTGCCCAATTTTAGTGGAAAAATTCTTGAATGGCAATCTTTCTGGGACTTTTTCGAATCAGCAGTACATATGAATCCAAGTCTACCAGACATTCAGAAATTTAATTATTTAAAATCACAACTTGAAAGTGAAGCATCCCGTACTTTTGATGGTTTCGCATTGACAAACGCTAATTATAAGGAGGCAGTTTACGTATTAAAAGGAAGATACGGACAATCGAGTAAGATTACACAAGCACACATGAAAGCAATGCTAGGGCAATCGCAAGACACTTACGGCACATTACTGGTCCCAATGATTTTGAGCAAGCTTCACGGATAAGTAAGGCAACATTTAGCACGAGAACATGGATCGAATACTTGGATTTTATCAGATTTACGCAGATCTATTCAGAATGAGATAAATATAATCGAAGCAGGTCAGGATTACGGTATGACAAAGCTATTCTACCACGCCTACATGTACGTTTCTCGTTGAAACACAATCTTACGGAAAAGAATCATATACGCCAAGAAGAGTCGATTATGTAATAAAATAATCAACGTGTTCTGACCGCGAAACTATGTATATTCTGTCAGGAAATTCACGCATTACACGAATTACAGACACAAACGAACGAATGAATATCGTAAAACGCAGCAATCTTTGCGTTAATTGTCTCGGTACGCACCAAGCCAATGAATGTAACTCTAGACATGTATGCCGTCATTGCAAGAAAAAAACATCATAGTAGCTTATTTAATGAGTCAATGGTCGATAAAAGAAGTACACATGTCCATAGTCGAACTTACATGAATCAAAACGCCAATCGTAACGAAAACGAAGAACGTGAAAACGAACATTCCATTCTCAATTTTATTTTTTACAGAGTTTGTCTTTAGTGCCGTGTGGAGACAGTAGAGTGCCTCCCCGTGCTTTAGGTTTATGCTCTTATAATATACTAGATTATGGAGTGTGTGTCCGAGCGAGAACTTCTCTATGTTCATTCCTTTAGGAATATTTATCAAAAAGTAGTATTTCAACATTCAGCCCCTTTCTTCTATTTAGTCAGACGTCAGTCGCTACCCTGATATACCATATCTTTTGTTTTATTTTTCGGGTAATTTATGACGGATAGCGTTTGACGTCTTTAGCCTAACAGTTTTATCATATTCACATAATTCAATTTATTGTGTGCTGGTTCATATTCTGGACGCCAGTCTTTGCTCCTTTCTAATAAAATCCACATACCAAAAACAAATATGAAACTTAGAAATGGAAAAATATTAAATACTAAACTCGTTCAAAGGTTATCTACACGTCTCAATCTTCAAAATCGCTTATCTAAAAATACTACCATCGCTAACATTTAACCTTCTATCGATAAGTGTCATGCCAAAAAATGACTTACATGTCCCCGTCTTTCCACCAACAATACGGTAAGGTCTACGTTTAATGGTCGCACATTTTCTTTAAATTTTGAAACTGACATAACTTGAAAAACAAACAGTATTATTTATTTACTCACATGAAACAAACCGGGATGCGGTATTCAGTACGTAGGTGAAACTGGACGATATTTGTCTAAACGCACGCAAGAACACCTGTATCGTTTTAAAAGACCCAATAAATTCAAAAGTATCATTTATCAACATCTTAAAAAGCACAATCATCCTATTAAATATTTAACAGTTCAACCTTTAGAAGCAGACTGGTGAATCTCATTCAAAGTTTGCACGATCACGGAAAATAATTGAATTAAATTGGATTAAAAAATTACAGACAGTCTACCCTCTCGGTCTTAATGATAATACCATGGGAATTGGTAATATATCAAGAACCGACTCTGTTAACATTTTGGATATAGTTTCTAAAACTGTTCGTAAAAACCGTTCTCATGGGCGTAGAAAAAATCGCAATCAAAGAAAATTTCGGACCAACCATACAAATATTTCGGACCTAATTTCTATTTCAAAAAACAACGGCAGACATTATCTATTAACCAAGCTCTGCTCTTTACCTATAAATAAATTAAATAAAATTTTAGAGGATTGCAACACAATTTCATAATGCAGTCCTAAGTATGAAATCGTTCAAATTATAATGGCATATTGTTATTCTAAACTGTTTCCCAAAATTGATCGCCCTGAAGATCATAAAAAAGATTTTATTAAAATAAAGTATGTCAATAAAGGTTTTGATTTTGTAAATATTGCCGGTATTTTTAACGACCATTCTGTTAAAGAACAAATTCCTGGATATTTTGATAATACTGAACTCCCTCTTATTTGTTATATTTACAAGAAATCTACCCGGAAATTTGTGTTTAATTATAGCCAAGTCTGTAAAGATGTAAATATCTGTGAAAATACACCTACGTCATGTAATTGTAGTAATTCAGAATACACTTATGGCCCCATTTCCCATGTTATAACAGGAGACCTTAACCTTGTTCGCGACCGAGTGTTAAAATCATTCCTCATTAAAGGACCTAAATATCGTCCCCCGTCAATTATTAAT